TAATGATATCGATAACACAACTTTGTTGCTCCTTGGCCGAATTATTTGGTAGGTCTTTTTAACCAAACTTTTTCTTTGCTGATAACAGGAAACACAAAACAAAGTAAAAGATCGAAAAGAGTAAGTAGGTCCACCATTGCCTTATTATTTCAAGGCAGGGGAAGTTAGTGACCGTAAGCCTTGTGAGGATAGAAAGAAAAGATGCTCTATAGACTGTTTTCCACGGAAATGCAGTAGGTTTTCAAATTTCATACAATCTATGAGACCTACTTGCTTAAGTTTGTGCTATCACAGACATAGCAACCAGGAACAAGCTCCTTCAATGCCTTCTGCTTCGAACCATCCACTTCTGGCAGGTGAAATTTGGGTGCACAGGTGTTTCAAAGGCTGTCCATGACTCTTGATTTTGCCAACGTTCGGCCAATTAGATCTTTTAACTCAATTTCACCCGGAAACCTGCCCTCCTTCAGTTTAGAGAAGACCTACAAATGCACAATACAAATCCGATTGAAAATCATTCCCACAGCATTCATGGAGCAATTGGTGAATCAAAAGAAGTTGAATTGTTTGATCCCAGAACATTATTTGGAATGAAACTCTAGTCAAACAATAAAATCTATTAAAGGTTTCGTTGTCTCATGGATAACATTCACGACTCACGAGCAACACTGCCACCATCCTCATTCTTCCACCCATGCATGAGTAGAAATCAATCTCATTTGTCAAAATTTATATTTCACTTATCAAAAAAATACTACAACAATATCTAACTCAAATTGAAAACGAAATTTACTCCATCTAAATTGTTTTTTCACTCAAATTAACATTATGCTTTTGAAATGTACTCAGATTATTATTTTATTTGTATTATAATTTTATTTTATTCAATAAAATTAAAATTTGAACCAAATAATCCTAAGCTTATTCCCATGGAATCCATATCTTGCTTACTGCACTTTGGAATTGACTTGCAAACGCCAAATTTGGGCACGCAGAGAATGTGAAAAATATTAACATAACCAAACGTATATAACAGATGGAGTAAACACTAACCAAATCCCCATTGAGGAAGACTTCGAATGCCCCAGAGCTTTGCAGGAAAGACTGCAAGACATTGCCAAGAAGCCAAGTAGATGCCATGGACCCAAACCTATTTGCACGCAAAGAATAGTACCAAGGAGGTGGTGTCATGAACCCCAGCATGGGAAAAATATGTTCACCTGCAACTATGATCCCAATAACTCCTATCTGAACAAGCGGCACCACTTTAGCTAGCAAACGCTTTGGCAGGGGTGGAGGATAATTTGCGAGGATCACATCAATTCCAGGAAAAGCTGTCTCCAACATTTTCTTCATGGTTACTGCTGTCCCCCTGCAGATACAGTGCAACCCTCATGTTTCCATAACAGGTAGAACTCAGGACTAGTACTCAAGCAAACTAAGCCTTTTGAATTTCAATAAGCAAATTAGCTACAGAAAAAAGCATGGCATATAAATTAAGAGTCCAGATAACATATTTTTCACTCTATCAGTACAAATCTGTGTTTGAATTCTTGGTACCAAACCAAATGAATTGGATTCAAAGTTTAATCCAAAGCTAGGTCGAGTGAGTAAACGAATAGGCCTATACGGCTCAAATAGAGAGAAAGAAAAAGCAAATTTAATTTAGTGCCTAATGCAGGAAGGACTTTTCTCATGAGTGGATTATCAATTTTTTTAATGGATCTTCACTATTAGTTTTCCCTTATTAGGTGTTGGAGATGAATGTGTAGAAGCAGCAATATGTTAATAAAGAAAAGACGTATCTTTTCAAAATCAAAATAACTATTCATTGAAAAAAAAATTCTAATTGTCTAGTTTTGCAATCCTATAACAAACATATCCAATTAGTTGCCAGAAAGAGAATAGAGAATCCATTGATGAGTCTACCCATTTATTGAGGCAGCGGGTGCATGAAATGGAGGTTTGGGGTTTATAGGGATTTCGTGTTGCTCATATTTTACAAGAAAAGCCTACTTATAAATCTGATCATAATAAACTTGCCGAGAAATACTTCATACTATGACCATTGGCAGGACAGTTTGACTGCAACCCAAGTTCGTACAAGAAACCATACAAAAGAACCAGGTAAACCAGACTCTGACATCACTGATCCACAAAAGAAAGCAAAAGCCGTGAGGCATTCTGGTGGACACACTCCTAACCCAGTTGCAGGCCACAGAAACAGTTAATTTTATGGAGCCCTGAAGGCATGATACTGGTGGCACCCCTAGAAACGAGGATTTCCTCTAAGCTATTTTCTTCTCTATTAACAGCATAATTTTGATTGATTACTAGACAACGTAATTATGTAATTAACACACAGTAGTTCCCATAGGAACGAGGAGTTAAGCGACCTTCATGATTCTCTAAGCTATTTTCTTATTTATTAACAGAAGAGTAAAGGCATAAATCTGACGTCCAGAAGAACCAAGAGTTGAATCTCCATCTGATCAAATTGTCTGGGACTGGTCGGAAAGAAACTTAAAGACAATTCCAATAGAGAAAATATCCTAAATTTGTTGTCCAATCTTAACTCATAATTATCGAGGGGTGATAAATAATATTCCAAATCAAGTTAATCGTTTCATGATAAGCAAGCACATCAGATTCCACCAAACAGAAACCAAAAAACCGCTTATATCCACACAAATCAATTAATTCGCCGAATAAAAAATGATGACTACGACAACCAATATAAACTATTTAATATCCAATCAAAACACAAAATTGAACCCTAATTAAAATTAAGATACCTGTAAGAGCAGGAAGCACAGAAATCGATGTTAATTGTGCCGCCAAACCCAATTCCTCCGATGCCAGTTGGTTTCTGCAGCAAACCAAAACAAAAACAATTAACAGAGGATACCGAAAATGAAAGAATTTGATAAAGACATCAAATTGTTATTTTTTCTTAACCTGTGGAGTGAATTCTAGGGTTTCGGTAACCGGTTGTTGATGTTGGTGATGATGGTGATGATGGTTGTGTTTGTGGTGGTGGGGTTTGGGAATGCTTATAACTAACAATTCGGTTGTTGGATCAGATTCTAATAAATCTTTCGGGAATTTGTAATGGAATAAATTCTTTCTTTATTAATTCAAATTAGAAGACAAAAAGGAACAATAGAATAATAATAATAATAAATAATCAAAAAAGTGGATTATTATACATCTATTTCATTTATAAAGATGAATAAGTCCATTTATTTAGTTCTACATTTCTTGTACCTATTAGATATATATATATTCACTTAGATATACTTATATATAATATACAAATTCGAATTATTATAAGATAAGATATCTTTAGAATTAAGAATATAACAATAACAGGTACAAATATGAAATTGAGGTATCCATTATATGACAAACTTACCCTCTATTTTTGTGCCTTTAGTGGGCCTAGTATTTCCGGCAATCGCAATGGCTTAATTATGTTTTCATGTTCAAAAACATAAGTAAG